CATATGAACGGAGATAAATCCCTGCTCTCAGATTACAAATATGAAAGAGGCCCTTTTTTAACCTTTGGAGGAAACATAAAAGTATATACCAAGGGCTTTGGTATATTAACCAACAATGCAACCACCTTCAGACGTGTTGCATATGTTGAAGGACTGAAGCATAATCTTCTCAACATCAGTCAAATGTGTGATAAAGATTTCACAATGAAATTTCTAAATAATTCATGTTATATCTTCGATAAAGATGAAAACTTTGCTCTCAATGGTTTCTCATCACTCTTTTGCAAAGCAATATCTTTACTCAGTGTGTGAAAAAGGAAAACAGACAAAGGCTAGCTTTAAATCAAATCTAGTCTCTTTAGTAACGTCTCCGCTTCAACTACTTCGCATGAATTTATTTGGCCCTGTCAATGTACAATCCATAGCTGGAAAGAAATATACGCTCATTAGTATTAACTAGTTTTCTAGGTACACTTAGGCTTTTTTTCTCAGATGCAAGAGTAATGCACCTAAAGAAATCATCTCGTTTGTCAAGCACATAGAAGTATTGAAGCATAAAAGAATATACCAAGGGCTTCGGTATATTAACCAATTGTGCAACCACCTTCAGACGTTTTGCATATGTTGAAGGACTAAAGCATAATCTTCTCAGCATTAGTCAGCTATGTGATAAAGATTTCACAGTGAAATTTCTGAAGAACTCATGTTATGTCTTCGATAAAGATGACAACTTTGCTCTCAGTGGTTTCTCAGTACTCTTTTGCAAACGAGTGTCTTTGCTCAGTGTTTGAAAAAGGAAATCAAAGGCTAGCGTTAAGCCAAAGCATGTAGTGACCTCTCCGCTTCAACTACTTCACAAGGATTTATTTGTCCCTGTCAATGTACAATCCATAGCTGGAAAGAAATATACGCTCGTTAATATTGATGAATTTTCTAGGTACACTTGGGTTTTCTTTCTCAAATCCAAGTGTAATGCACCTGAAGAAATCATCTTGTTCGTCAAGCGCATAGAATTACTGAACAACATCAAAGTACGATCTATCAGGAGTGATCATGACACTGAACTCAAAAACAGTACCATTGATGACTTTCTTGTGAACAAGGGAATCTCACACAACGATTATTGAATTCGCTCGATCAATGCTCAGCGAATCTCGTCTCCCTACTCAATTCTGGGCAGAAGCTATCAACATTGCTTGTTTTACTCAAAACCGGTAGCTAATCATCAATTGATTCAAGAAGATATATTACGAACTCTTCCATAGTAGAAAGCCTTCTCTCAGCTTTTTTCATATCTTTGGTTGTACATGCTACTTTTTAAGCAATAGCGATCATCTTTGAAAGTTCAACCCCAAAGCTAATGAAAGATTCTTTCTTGGATGTTCTTCAGTGTCCAAAGCCTTCATAGTAACAAAAGACAACAAACGATAGAAGAATCTATTCATGTCACATTTGATGAATCTCAATCAGCTAACTCTAAACCCATCTTTGAAGATGATGAAGAGCTAGACAACTGGATGATATCTCACTGTGGAGAACCTGAAGCTTCATTCAGCAATCAACCGAATGCTGACCTCCATGAAGCTAAAGATGATCCATTCATCATTTCAGATGTGACTAATAACGAAGTTGAATCCTCTTCAGGGGTTTCTGCCATTCCCATTAGTCACTTACCCCCTTCTACTTCAAATGTTAACCCTTTAGTCATTGAATCTCTTTCAGTCATTGAACCTCTATTAGTAAATGAATCGCACACTAAGGCTCCTTTGGCAATTCAAGTTGTTGCTGAAGACTCTCTTGTTGAAACCTCATTTTTCATACTTGAGCCTCCAGTTTTAGAAGGTGATGATATATATCATCTACTAGCCCAACTGTTGATCCCAGATCTCTCAATAACACTAACAAATAGATTATGAATAACCTAAATAAGTAGTGTGGATGAATAAAATGAAGAATACTTGAGAACAAATAATGTATATATTCAAAGCATATACTTGAGCATTAAAGATACGTAAAAAATCACTTCAAAAGTCTTATTTTACAATAGGTCTAGCTACCTATTTATACTAGCAATAACAAGATAACTATCTAGCCAATCTTCTAGGAAAGATAATGTTTATCTAAGTATGGATAAACTATAAATCAAGATAAACTTAAAATCCAGCTGGCGATTTGTTATCTCCAGCTGTCTTCCATGGGATGTTAATTCAACCTTATCTTCATATCTTCATTGCGTGCCTCTGGTTGAACTACTGAAGAAAACTCTAAGTGTTGTTGACTAGAGGGGTGATGAAGATGCTCTTTCCATCATATCTCTGGTCAATTCATCGACCCTCTGGTTGTTCTTCAGACTTAGTCAATTCTGCCTTAACGTCTTCATCGGTCTTCTGGTTCTTCATCACTTATTGTTCTTCATTACTTTTACCCTTATGAATTATGGGGTCTAACAATCTCCTCCTAAGTAATGAAATAACCAACATAAACTAATCTATGAACAATATTGAAGAACAAAGACTAATCTAAAGAAAGGCATCAATTTCCAAATTTTCATTGGATGATGAATTATTACAATACTGGAAGCAAAGACATTACAGTTTAAGGCAAAAAAAATTTAAAACTCTATCCATGATCTACCTTGAGATATTTCCTAGAAGCGCAGTAGCAGTCTTCGATAACTGATGACTATAAATATATCATGAATAAGTTGTTTCCCCTCTTCCCTCGGCACATGAGTTCTACCCAGTCTATCTCTGATAACTCCCTGAAACCATTCAAGTGTTGAGGTTGAATACTTGAATGCTTCAGTTAGTCTAAAAAACTTCTTTACCCCAAACTCATTTTTGAAGACAAGTCCAAGCTCGGGTTGAGTTAAGACAATAGCAGATCTCTTCTCCTGCAGGCCTGAGAAGTCTTCAGTAGGTGGAGTGCAGGAGGGTCGATCGATGCCCAGGTAGGCTTTCATAGCCCTTTTTCTTCAATCAACCTCCATAGATTGTAGGAGGGAGGCGGTGCATTCTTGTTGGTCAGCAAGGCTCTGGGAGAGAGCCTTGGTCGGTTGAGTCGCTCAATGAACGAATTTAGCACTTATCTTGTTGGATAGGGCCCTGAGGTCGGCTCTCGTGGCATACTCGGAGGTGGTGGATGATGAGGCTAGGGGAGGTATGGAGGTAGAGGTGGATGCGGTGGGTGGGATGGGAAGGTTGGTGATCATGGCTTTAAGCTCTGCAGCAAGGGAGGATAGAGCTTCATTGAAAGATGGTGCTGCAGGGCTGGGTGGTGGAGGTGGTGGATGGGATATTTGGGCTAGGATGGTGGCTGGGAGTTGGTTTAGGGTGGTTTGTATGGTGGCCATTTGGTTGGTGAGGGAGGCTAAGGTTTCATCGATTGATGAAGTTTTTTGATGTAGGGTTGGTTGAGGGATTTGGGAAAGGATGGTGGTTGGTAGAGTGTTGAGGGTTTGAAGGATGGTGTTTCTGTGGGTGGTAATGAAGGCTAGGGTCTCATCGGTCGCAGTTGCCTGGGCCGTGAGGGTAGCGATGGAGTTCATCAAAAGTTGGTTTCTTTGGGTGGCAAAGGCAGAGGAGGTGTTATGGTGTTGGGTGACGGTTTGTTGCAGCATTTGGAGACGGGTTGTATTGTCTTTGGTTTGGGTTGCAAGGGTGGCAAGTGATTGTTGAAGGGTGGTGATATCGATGGATGGTGGGTTTTCAACAATCCCTTGGATGATGAGTTTTAGGTCTTCCAAGGACCGCTGAACTGAGTCAACAAAGGCTTGGAACTCAGCCTTTGTGACCAGATCGGCCACGGAGGTGTCAACACATGCTTCTAGGTGTGTGATTGGTGGTGTCGAGCCATGAGGTGATGTGGCTCTTATGTCTACATTGCCTCTCTGTTGGAAGAGGGGCGATGGAAGTTGTGGTTCCTCAGCTAAATCATCTCCAGAGGCCTGAAGAATGGCCTCTGGATGGCTGGTTTGGGTTTGGTTTGGACTGGACCGTCCTTGTTAAATACCCCTTTGGCCTTGATCGTCAGGGGGTAGAGGTGGTGGTTGCCTTTTGGGAAGAGGGAAGGGGAATTATATGTGTAGGGCCGGGGGAATCACGAGGAGTGTCATCATCATCATCATTTTCATCATCCAATGAAGATGGCTCGTATGCTCCCTCGCTTCACTGAGGGGACGACTCTATGCGCTCTGGGATAGCTGCCCTTGGTTCATTGGACAGCAGAGAGCATTCGTAAGTTCTTCGAATATCAGATGTCTCTGGGATGACACTTAGCATGGCTCTGGAAATCGGCCTGTCGATGGTGTAGCCAACCTTTGAGAGTGTAGGTCGATGGCCCTGCATCTTGAAGAGTGGAGTGAACGGTTCCTCGACCAGTAGATTATGTCTCCTCATCACGTCCCCTATGAAGAGAGATAGGAAACGAGGAAACAAAACTGAGGTCAAGGGCTTGCCGGTGGCCTTGAGCTTGCACTTTTTGACTACCGCTATGTGGATCTCATTGTATATGAGGAAAGTGTAGTCAAGTGGGATGTTGAAGAAGAGGCCATACATAATCGTCATTATGTTGAAGTTGCCTTGATCCATCGACCCCATCTTGCATGTGAGGCCCTGTTTAATATGGAAAAGAACATATTCCACATTGGCGGCAAAAACTGCCTGTTGAAATCGGAGGCGTTGCATAGGTCACGATTGTAACCTAGCATTTTTATGAATTGGAGGATGTCTGAGGTTGTGGGTTGGTCGGCATATTGGTCAATGCCGAGCTCTCGATGGGTGGGAATGCACAGAAGCTTACATACTTTTGCCCGAGAGATCTTGAACGAGCAGATCATGTCATTCGGGGCGTCGATGTCCCCCATTATTCCATAGTTTTCAGGGATGTACTCACATGTTTGCCAGTATTGTTGGACATACTTTAGAGGTATGCCATTGTTAGTTAGAGTCAAGGCAGGTAGAAGAATGCATTTACAGAAGAACTCGATTATCACAACAAACCTGTCATCGAACAGGGTGGTTCGAAGCTCAATGGCATGATTGTTGGGCTTCATTGGGAGAAATACTATTGCTCGGCTGTCGGCACCGGTGGATTGAACACGACTATCATTGTCATTGGACTCGTGTGATGCGGAGGAAGCCATTGCGGATAAAGTTGCAGGTAGGTTTGTGCGTCAAAGTTTGGTTGCAGGTTTTAGGAAGCGTAAGGGAACGATGGAGGAAGAAGAAGGGTATTTATAGGTGGGGGAGGGGAACCTGAAATGGTTTTTTGATTATTATATTTAAATAATCATGAAAAGTGAAGGCGTTTAGCAAAAGGTGAGTTGATTTGGGGATTGTGAGCCGTCTTGATTGTACGTGCCAGTAATGTTGAGGGACACATGTCAAGATGGTGATAGGGAAGGGTAATTTGAAACGGTTCATGGGGAACAGGCTGTATATGGTGTCAGGCACGTGGGAGGATGACGTATGTATATGCTGCCAAGCGCGTGGGAGTATATAAAAAAATTAAATTCCATCTAATTGTAAGATAAATACGAATTACGAAGTTTTGGTCTTCTAAAAACCCATGTTGTATAGTTTTTAGTCACAAAAGCTGTAATTTTGTATAATCTTTAAAAGGTTTTCAATTAAGATGGGTTTTTGGATGAAAACTATTTTGTCATGGAACCAGAGGAGCTTTGGTTGGTCATGACTCATTGGGTGAGGAACCAGAGGTGCTCTGGTTGACCATATATGAATGAATTCATCGATGAAATGTTGGATTGTATGATAAATAAGCCTTGGATGACTAACCAGTGGCTCTAGTTAAGCATTGACAATCCATTATGTAGAACCAGAGGGGCTCTGGTTAAATACACATGGTGTAGCCATTATTTATTTAGCATTTAAGTGTCCAGAGGCTCTGGATAGTAGAACAAGAGGCTCTGGTATGGAAAATGCATATATATGCAATAGAGATTCATGATAAATGAATAGCTCCCCCTCAAATGATGCATGTGGATAAGGTTTGAGTTTTAGAAATTCCCCCTAGAAACAATAAGAAGGTTCATTTTGATGACCAGAGGCTCTGGTCTATACAACCAGAGGCTCTGGTTGTGAAAGATGATGAAAAGTGATATGAAATTTGTCTAAGTATGCAAATGGATATGAATATGAATGGGTCTTTGAGACTAGAGTGCTCTGGTTCCAAAGACAATGAATCTAGAGGCTCTGGTTGCAAAGTCAATGAATCCAGAGGCTCTAGTCTTTAGAACCAGAGGCTCTGGTTGCAAAGGCAATGAATCCAGAGGCTCTGGTCTTTAGAACCAGAGGCTCTGGTTGCAAAGGCGATGAAAAGAAGTATGAAAATATGGTTAAGTGCATGTGAGAGAGTGCAATGGATGGGCCTTTGAGACCAGAGGGCACTGGTTCCAAAGGCTTTGAATCCAGAGGCTCTGGTCTTTAGAACCAGAGGCTCTGGTTGAAACAAAAATGGTACTTAGTGAAGAAGTTCACAAAGTATGGGAGTCCAGGTGGAGACCGTGGAGTCCAAATGGGCTCTGGTCTCAAAGGATGAGAATCCAGAGGCTCTGGTCTATAGAACCTGAGGCTCTGGTTGCGAAGGTAATACTTAGTGAATAAAAGCTAAGTATTTGCTTTGGACCAGAGGTCTCTGTTTCCAAAGGCGATGAAAAACTTTGAGCCATATTAAAAGTTTTCTTCATGGCCAGAGGCTCTGGTCTTTAGAACCAGAGACGCTGGTTTGGAGTACTTATTGATTATGGCTTATTGCTATGTATCACTTGTAGGCATAACCATGAGATATTGAGAATATCTGATTTAAAGACTTTTATTGCCTTTAAGTGATGAGATTCAGCATACCCATCTTGTAGACTTGGAATAAATATCTTTTCTCATCAAGAGCTTTTGTGAAAATGTCAGCAAGTTGAATCTTAGTGGGAACAAAGTACATTTCTATATTACCTTTTTCAACATTGTCTTTTAGAAAATGGTACCTTACATCGATGTGCTTGGTCTTGGAATACTGCACAGGGTTTGCAAAGATTTCTATAGCACTCTTGGAGTCATAGAGGATAGGAATTTTGTCATATTGAAATCCATAATCCTTAAGCTGAGTCTTCATCCAGAGAACTTGTGAACAACAACTAGCAGCAGCAACATATTCTGCTTCTGCTGTAGAGGTTGAGACACAATTTTGTTTTCTGGATGTCCAACTTACCAGCTTGTCCCCCAAGAGTTGACAGCTTCCAGACGTGCTCTTTCTA